TTTATAAAATTTTAGAAAGTTTTTATAATGCATGTTAATTATTAGCTGTTTGTTAAATTTTTTTTTGTTCACTAAGATTTTATACTATAGTAGTCATCCTCAAAAGAGGAAAATGTTACAAAGGGAGGAGCCAAAGCAATCAAACTCCGTGAACCAAAAGAAAATCGGTACACAATATAAAAGCAAATCGGTACACAATTTAAATTTTATAAGGTTAAAATATTATGTTTGAATAAAAATTTTTCCTACTAATATTTGTAAAAAAAAAATTGGTATTATAAAAGTGGTATCTAACAAAATTCTCTTAATACTTATACACATGTCGACTTGTCACATGTTCTCAGTCGATGCTAATGAATGATCAATGAAAAACACTATCCTACTTAATCTATATGATTTGGAAAACTTTCCTGATAAAACCAAAGCCACGTGTTGTCTAGTCATTTATCTATACATAATTAGAAATTACAACATTGTGAATATAAAGATTGATTTGGCAACTAGTAGAGTACACAAATAACCTAACTGCTTAATTGGCTAGAGAACAATGGATGAATAAGACCCCACCATTAGTTTTGAAGTTGATCCTCTCAAATCCATGGAAACTGTTGATGAAGGCAATGATGTATTTGTAATTATGATTTAAACTTCAATAAACTATTATTTCTCTTGTTATGATATCAACAATATGGAATATGGCCAAGTACACTCATATTTTTCTAACCTTATTTTAACTTTCCTAACTTTTAGTGGCCATGGAATTTTGTCTAAAGATTTGAAACCGCTTCTACAATATTCCCATTAGAAAAGGATAATCATGAGTCATGACTACCAGCTTAGCTTTAGAAAGAAAGTCATAAAGAAAAAGCTGATCTTAGTGCTTCTCATAAGTGGGTATTTGAAAATTTGTTCTATTATGGGGTTTAATTAATAAAGACTAAAGAGTGTAGATAAGATATATGGTCAGAATGATTTAACTTTTGTCTCTGATTAATTGTGGTGCAAATGAAAAGTTTTTAAATAGATGATGATTTTTCTATTTGCGGCAAAATTGTAAAATTGTAAATAATACAGGTTTTATATAAATGACAATATGACATATCGAATAAAATCCAAACCAATTTTCAGATTTACAACAATGATTTATGCAACCAAGTGGTAGTCTTTTAGTAATTCTCACTTTTGAAGAAGTTGTCTTATAGGTTTAAGCAATGTTTAAGATAGCGCTAGATGCTAAAAGGACGATGACTTAGCGCCTAGAACTCCTAATCAAAGCTTTAGTGATTTTAGACGTTTTAAGCGGTTTATACGTTTACAATACAAAATATTATAAATATCATATTATAGATAAAAATATATAATTATATATTAGAAAAAATAAAAATATTAAATCGTAAACAAGAATTACACAAAAACATTTATTTAATTTATATAAAACAATATATGAACGTTTATAATCATGTATATAGAGGTAGAACTTATAAATTTAAATCTATGTAGTTAGAAAGGAAAAATACACTAAAACGAGATATATGCTATTTTAGGCGGTTGAGGCGGTCATCTAGACGTCACCTGAACATTTAGCGCCTAGTCGGGGCGTAGGCGACCGCCTAGACTGATTTTTAGAACATTGGGTTTAAGTCATGATTTGTTCCTTTCAAATATGAAATTATTCTATCGCTTGTATTTGATCAGTTGAAATGGCTTTGATTTTCGCTTCCAAATGCTTGAAGTTTTATGGTTTACTGTTCTCGATTCCAATTTGTCGGAGGTTTGAATGTGTTCATGGAATCATGCCTAGTCTTCACTCATTGACAATCCTATCTAGCGACTTCAAGTATCGTCCAACCACCACCTTCTCTAAGATATGGATCATGTTCTTGCAAGTAATTTCATATTATCTTAAGAGAGATCCCGAGCCTCTGTTTTGTGTGTCAAAGCAAGCTTCACCTGACTATATTGTTGTAGTTACCCAAATCCTAGCCGATGCACTACTTCGAGTAGACCTTTTCGTGCCGGCGAGAAGCATGGCTCCGATTTCTTCATCAACGTCACCTAGTCTTTTGACAGTGACTATCATGTCATCCATCGATTTGTTCGTGGAAGATTCTTCGACTAACCGTGATCTCACATTTGTCAAAACGCTCCTTAGTCTTTGTCTCACAGCTCTCATGGAATCTACGTCGATCTTTCGCTATCCTTTTGTGGCATTGGGGAATGCCTTTCTTTGTTATTTTTAAACTTTGGGATCTTTGAATTCCTTTTCTTTGTACTTGGATTTATTTGAATGAAAACAAGTATTTGCACAAAAAAATATATAGAAAATCCGGTGAATAGATTATACAACGACTACATTTACCTAAAATAGTAAAACATTTCATCCCAAAAATAAAAAATTAATTAATTAAACATTGTATATCATATTTCATATTTTAATATTATATATCATATATAATTGAACTTGCATTTAAAAGTAACAAAAAAATTTCCAAAAATCATTCTTCCTAATCAAGTTTATATACAAAAATTCAGCTCAGAAAAATATTAATCAATAGGTCATCGTATATACTATATCCATTTTTTAATATTAGATAAAGGTTTTGAATAGTAACCTTGTACTGCTTCAGTATGAGATGTATCGTTTTTACAATTACCAATCAGAAAAACGATATCAAAAATGTTACTAAAAACATTACTCTCAACTACTTTATACAGTTTTCGTGTACCACTATTTCTTACAATTAGATATTGTTATATAATAGTTTACCGCTAAAATACTTATATAGCTTTATGTTACGAATCAGACCCATAATAATTTACCTTGCATTTAAAAGTAGCATCTTGTCGAATGGCACGAAGCAAGCGAGTGGGGTTCAATCAAGTCATGCATGCATATCTTAATTTTAATGTCTTTCTTGAAATTATCAATTTGTAGTAAATATATAGCTATAGTCAACTTCTACATGTACTTATTGGAATTAGCCTTTTAATTCTAAAGTCAACTTAGATTTCTCAATCATGCATAAATATTACAATTCTCTTTTTGTACTGCAACATTGCAACTATTGCTCATTATTATAATGGATATTCACTGTCCATAGGAGATTTATTCTCTCTGTTTAAATATAAGTACTATATTAATATTTTAACTATATTTTTATACAAATAAGTTGATTTTGAAATTTTACTTTTATTTTACGTTTTCAATTAGTTTTAGTTACAAAGAAACTTTGTAATGTCACTTTTCTGATATATAACATCATGATAAAATTATAATACATTGAAATCTTATAAGGACGATTTTTCCTTTTAAAAATAAAAATGTTAGCATAAATTGACACTATTTGTAAAATGGAAAGAGAATACATTATATTCATCCATGTGTTAGTCATTTTATGTCCTCGAAGATGTAACAAATGGGAAACAACCCAAATATATTACAAGAAATCAAAATAAAATTGAGAATAATTGAGATAAATATCTGTATTTAAATTTTCTCTTTTATGTTTTTTCTTTTTTTTTTGTCATTTCATTCATTTTTATTTTATATATCTAATTTCTTGGTAGTTTTAATGCGAAAGCGAAACTACTATATTTTTGTTAGCACTCTGCAATTTTCTATTTAAAAGCTACTCATGTTAGAAACATTCATAAGAAAGCAGATTTAAAACAAATCTTGACAATGGATTTAAAACCCTTAGTTTGTTGTGATTTTGGCACGTTAAATTTCTCTTAAATTCGTTTTGTTTCTTTTTGTAAAACAAAACCACATTCATATGCTAAAAACAGATTCCACGAACATGAATAATCATTGTGATTTCTTCTTCTTATTTTCGTGTAAATTCGGATGATAAAACATAATGGATGATGTATTAAAGTCAAAGAGTTTATATAGTGGGTTGGTTGTCGCCTTAGGATTAGAGTAATTATGCGAAAGAAAAAAAATAGGTCAATGATACTGCGACTAAGTTCAATGATAGATCAAAGAGCTTTTTGTTTAGTTTTTTTTTTCTTATTATTATTAGTAGTCCTAATTAATTTTAAAAATATTTTTTTATGTTTTAATCCTTTTCAATTCACCAAAGGTCCATCATTCACATTGTCAATAAAAGATTTATTGAAGAGTACCACAAGACTTCGTGAGGATGACCTACTTTTCTATAGTTTAAAATTAAATCAGAAACATTCATACAAAATAAACCTTATATATGTAAATATCTAAATTTGAGCTATTAGGAATCATCCTATCACAAATAAATATGTCTTAATTTCATTTATCAGGATTCAAACCTCTCCATCATATAGAGAAAAAAAAACTCACAATACTATCAACACATACTTACAATAATATTTACTTTTTATGAGATCTGAAACTTTATGGAAAAAATTCTGTTCACACAAGTATTGAAAAGTTTCTTATCGTCGATCCCCGATAGTCCTAGAGACTACATGCAAATGCGGATAAACAAATTTTGGCACGAATAATACAAGAATTATTTTCCAATTAAATCTTACTATTTATAGATGACTCTAGAATTATCTATCTATTTTTAAGAAAATGATTACGACCATAACTAATATACAAACAAGATTCATTTCTTTCTTTTTTTTTATTTTTCAATTACAACGTAAAAGATGATCCATGAACTATATTGTTTGTATTATAGAATCCAATCAAACCAATCTCTTTGGATTAATATCAAATTATTTTATCCCCGTATCTTTTACAGTTTCAAATTAGATGACGATTTAATAAGCTGCAGGCGTCGCAATAATTTAATAATTACAAATAAAATTGAGTTAAAACTGTCAACAGTCTACTTCTGTGTGTAAACTTAAATAAACGAATAAATCCTCGAAATTTAAAAATAATGAAGAAGTCAGCATCACATAATGGATTATTATAAATACACACACATAGATGGATGTTCAACTTCATTGAGATCTAAGATCACCTTTAAAAAATATTCTGCTCTCCTTTCTTTATAAACAAAACGTCTAAATATCAAGAAGAGGAAGAAGAAGAAGAAGAAACTCCGCAGAGAAAATAAAATCCATGGCTTCTACTTTTAGGCTCTCTATTAGCTTCCTCACTCTCCTCCTCTTCTCTCTGGTGTGTTTATCTCCCTATACATATATTGTTAACATATTTACACATATGTATATGATTCTTTATACATATGTACCTCTATATATGTGTGTTAAGAGGCTCAAATTGAAAGCTTTATTCTTTATGTACCTCTATATATACATAGGTATATATATATATATTTTTTATACATAGATATATGGTTAAAAGTATTTACTAAAAGAAATAAAATCCTGGAAACTAATCACATAATTTGTAATTTTGACACACAAATTTACAGAAGTTTATGCATCATAATGTTTTAAGAACCTTTTTTTTTTTCTCTTCAGTAGTATAAAAAAGTAATTAGTTGTACAAGAATCTACATCATATATTCATGACATAGTTTGTAATGAATTTTGATTTGTACATAAGTTCTTGCATCATGGTTCTTACCACATTGTTAGGAAGTCCTTCTGGCAACCTTTTTTAAGAAAATCTATTTAAATCGAAAAGAAAACTTTGAATCTTTCTGAAGTTTTTGGTGTCTAATTTATTGGTTTTGTGTTTCTTGAATATGTAGTGGGTAGTGGAGGCACACACGTCAAGAAAGCTGATATCAATCAAGAAAAACGAAGGTCAAGATATTAGTCATTTGCTCAAAGATGGTGAATTCGATGATCCTTCATTGTACATGTATTTCACACTCAATGATCTCAAACTAGGAACCAAATTGCTGATTTACTTCTACAAAAACGATCTTCAAAAGCTTCCTCCACTTCTCACAAGACAACAAGCTGATCTCATTCCTTTCACTAAGTCAAAGCTTGACTTCCTTCTCGACCACTTCTCTATCACCAAAGACTCTCCGCAAGGGAAAGCCATAAAGGAGACTCTGGGACATTGTGATGCTAAAGCTATTGAAGGTGAGCATAAGTTTTGCGGGACTTCTTTGGAGTCTTTGATCGATCTTGTGAAGAAAACAATGGGGTATAATGTTGACCTCAAGGTCATGACAACTAAAGTAATGGTACCGGCCCAAAATTCTATAAGCTACGCTTTGCATAACTATACATTCGTCGAGGCTCCTAAGGAACTTGTTGGGATTAAGATGTTGGGATGCCATAGAATGCCATACCCTTATGCTGTTTACTATTGCCACGGACATAAAGGTGGAAGCAGAGTCTTTGAAGTTAGTTTGGTGACGGATGATGGGAGACAACGGGTTGTAGGACCTGCTGTCTGCCACATGGACACGTCCACATGGGACGCGGATCATGTAGCTTTTAAGGTGTTGAAGATGGAGCCGAGGTCAGCACCGGTTTGCCATTTCTTCCCTCTAGACAACATTGTGTGGGTAACAAAATAAGAAAACAGACTTAGCTCTATATATAATGTGAGTATGTGTTGTAATAACTATGGTTTGAAAGAAAAAAGAAAAGAAAAAAAAAAAAAGACAGCCTTAATGTTGGCTTTGGTATTGCCTCTTTTGTGTAACTTGCAGCAGCAACGTGAAAATACTAGTAATGTAACATATATTATCTCATGCTATACTACATATTTATATATCACGATGTATGTATGTAGCTTTTGGTCCATGAAATATATATGTCCGGTTTGGAAGTTTTCGAATTTTGGATCGAAGTGATTCGATCATGCGGGAAAATATGATTTTTACACGTGATGCTTATAATACAGGGTGGTCCAACGTATTTTTAGCATCAAGTCAATTACGACTTACCCTTCTTGCCAATAATAGCAAGTTTTATTAATATCTCCCGACTGTTGACAACGAACCATTCACATCACCGCGATTTGAACATTTCATTAAGTTATTCACTTAGCTTTGAGAGGTATATATATATATATATTTATAGACGTTAAGAGCAATATGCTTAAGTTTATATACTTAGACCATCTGCATTGGGGGATCACCCCCCTGATCTAAGCATTATTTAAATCCAAAAAAATGGGTTAATGGGCTTAAGATCAGGAACTGGGCTCTTGACCTGGATCTGTTCTTGTGGGTGTTGCGGGGTGACGTGGCATTTGGGCATTGGTTGGAATATTCAACATATTTGGAATAAATTTGGATAATAAACTATGTATTAATTAGATAAAATGTTTTTGTGTTTTTATTAAGTAATATGTTTGTTTGTTTATTGTTATTTATATTTTTAATATTTTTTTCATAAATATTTAGTATTGTATTTTCACTTTTATTTTCAGTTTTTCATAAATTTGGCATTTGCAATTTATATGTTATTTTTAAATGTTTTAATAATTGTAAAATCTTAATTTAATTTAGATTATTATATTATTAAGTCTTAAGATCTTACACATGTTCTCCCACTAATCAACTTCTAAACAAAAGATCTAAACACATGATCTTACATTATTTTAACATTATATTCTCTATAAGAACACCCTCACATGATCCCCCATTGATGATGCCCTTAAAGCTGGACTTAAGCACATGATGATGAAACCTTTTAATGGAGTCCTCATTTGAGAGAGACCCCACTTAAATATTTTTTTAGTTATATATATAAAAAATTATTTTTCATAAGATTTAAGTTACTATTGCTTTTTTAAAAACGATATAATTGTACTATGTTTTTTAAAATAATATTTTTGTTTAAATAGATTATTTTATTTATAATTTTTAATATTGTGAAAATTATGATGTTATTTTTTTCTTAATTCTAATGGGGTTCCACAATTTATTGGTCCGGCTAAAGAATAAAATATAGATCAAATATAAAACAAAATAAAACCAGCAGAAGTTATACATTCAGATGTGAATTTGAAATGAATAACATGATTGTTACACGTTTTCAACAAATATCATACATATTATTTTAATATTTTATCCGATAGTGCATTATTTATATAATATCACGTAACTTGTTTAAAACATGTACACATAAAATCAAAACCTACATAATTACGATTTTTCCACGGCATCATTTTCGTAAATAAAGGTATAAAATTTGTCTATCTAGCATACTAAACCCTAATAGAAACTCTCATGTTGACAAAATAAAAATCCAACGGAGATCTCAAGAGATTTTTTTATATTACGATCTCAGAAGATAAGAATCTATCATTTTTCACTTGTATGGTAGTTGGTAGTTGGTACAATAGCTAAATACGGAACAACAGTGGTTCCAATTTCCAAATGTGGATTTAAATAAAAGGCCACAACTTGCCCCCACTCATACATTGGGCTTTTGAATTGTTGGGCTATTTCAGCTGACATTTTTTTTTTTTTTGGTAAATTATGAATGTGGTGCGATGCTCTAATTTAATCCGACTACTTCTTGACCTTCACAAAAACTATATCATAGCTCATAGGTTTTTCAATGGGCCTTAATCCACTTGTATAGTTGGGTACAATACTTAAATACGGAAAAAAAAATAGTGGTTCTAAATTCCAAATATGGATTTTAAGTTTAAGGCCACACTTTCGCCCACTCATTTATTGGGCTTTTGAATTGTAGGGCTATTTCAGCTGACTAATTTTATACGACTACGGTATGAAAATTGAAAAGTGTTTTTTGTTTTGGTAATAAATATACACGTAAAAAATAATTGTAAATAAACATTTATTATCAGATAATGAAATATCTTGTAAGAGATTTATCAATTGAACTATAGTCTCATTCAATCAACGATTAAGACATTATTCCTTTTAAGCGGTAAAACGAAAAGAATAAAAAATCTGAAAATCAGAAATTCTCAAAACTAAAAAATCTAAATTAAAAAACAAAAAATCTGAATAATAGCTGTCTGATAACAGTATTTCAAATTTTGAAAAGAAGTTATTATTAAGTTTTATCCGAATCTTTTTGTTTGTTAAGATTTCTTTTCACAAAAAAAAACCCCAATCTCTCCTTAATTTACACTTTTCACCTTAACAAAAAAACAACCGTCCAATAGTATATCACCACACAAATGACGTGGCATAAAATAAAGTACCTTGGACAAATTTCGAATTAATTTAAAATTTAGAGGATTTTAACACCGAAATATCCGAGAGTGTATATGTATAACAGAAAAGATCCTATTTTCTTCTCTCTCTCACTCACTTTCTCAGCATTTTCTCTCGTTTTCTCTCCTATTTTTCGTCGTTTTCTCGCTTCCCTATATGTACATAGTGTACGATCTTTCACAGTGACCATAAAAGAAAAAACACTGACCTCCATTTTTTTCTTACTTTGTCTTATTCCTTTCCGACGTTTCGTTTCCCCAGAAAACCATGACGACGAATCCGATCAACGAAGAACCGGTGAACGAACCTCCAAACGACGCCGTACAACAGACTGATGATGATGATGATGATGACGATGACGAGAAGCTTCCTTTTTCACTAACCTTGGGTTCAAAATCGTATTCCTCTCAGATCCGTCCGAAGACGCCACCACCGGAGTTCGCTGGACCTATGACAACGTGGCCAACACCTGCTGATTTATTGGCGGCGCGTTCTATGCCTCCTCATCCCACTCCGTCGCCGTATCTGATATCGTCATGGCTGAATGACTATCCTCACCAGGCACCGAATCCGCCGGCGATCAGACCAGTTCGTGGTTACAGATCACAATCCACCGCAAGTCAGAAATCGAATACGATTTCTCCGCCGTTTCCATGGGCGACTAATCAACGTGGGGAGATACAAAGCCTAGAGTATCTCGAATCGAAACAGATCACAACCATCACCGGAGAGGTGCAATGTCGACACTGCGAGAATGTTTATCCGGTAAGCTACAATCTAAAGGAGAGATTCGCGGAGGTTGAGAAGATTTTCATAACGAGGAAGAGGATAATGAGAGAAAGAGCTCCTTCGATTTGGCTGAATCCAGAACAACGGAGATGTGAGCTTTGTGGCCGTGAAAAAGCTGTGAAACCGGTGATTGCTGAACGGAAAAGTCAGATTAATTGGTTGTTTTTGCTTTTGGGACAAACGTTGGGTTTTTGTACATTGGAACAGCTCAAGAATTTCTGTAAACATTCGAAGAGTCATCGTACTGGTGCTAAAGATCGTGTTCTTTACTTGACGTATTTGGGTCTGTGCAAGATGCTTCAGCCTAAATGTGACCTCTTTACTCGTGACAACGGCTCTAAACGGTGAGCTGATTTCTATCTTCTTCTTCCTTGGTTTGATTCAATTTCAGTTTTCTTTTGTTGAAGATCATTTGAAACTTTGATTCGTTTTTATTTCACGATATTTGGACTGTTGCTTTTAGGAGAATAATTGTGCAATTGCATTGCATGGATTATCTTTTGTCGTTTTCTGCTTCGTTGTATTCGGAACTTTGGTTTAATATCTCATTAATCTATATTATGGTTTTATATATATGGATTATCAGTATCTTTTTACATTTTAATTTCGAATTCTCAGCATAATAGTTGATAGGTATTGGTACTATATAAATGATTTTTTCTGATATTTTGACAAAAAAAAATAAAAATTGTGATTTGAAATTAAAGAAGATATTTAGAATGTTAACAATCTGTCTAAATCAGTTTGACCAAAAAAAAAAATAATCTGTCTAAATCTTAACAGTTTTTCTAATATATGGCAAATTCAATATTAATTTTTGTATGACCTCTAATTTCTAAATATATATCATATCCCAAAAAGCATATAAAACAAAAATTGTGGATAATCTCCAACTTCCAAATGTTGACAAAAAAAAAAAAAAGTTCTCCAACTTCCAAATATTTATCATATCTTTTTAGATATATATCGGGGATAGATATATATCTAAAGTAAACACTTGAATAATCGGGGATAGATTTTATATTTTGGGGGTGTTATTGGTTCCTAGTTTACAAAGAATTTTGATGACTTTACTAAAATCATATAAAGTAAACAAATGAAAGATTCTAAACTATTGCTAGAGAGTTTTCTATAATTTTGTTGATTAGTATTTCATAATCTTGTAAAGTTTCTCAAACAATCTCTTTATTTTGATGATACTTTTCATGACTTTATTTTGTGAAGAAAAGTCATAAACCAATAACATAATAATTTAATTCATTAACAATCATAGATTTTTTTATTTTAATTGAATAACACAAAACTTTTAATGACTTTATGAAAGTATGAATCCAATTACTCCAGATTTATGAAGATTATAGATTACTTTTTACAAATCTTAAATTAATAACACCAAACTTTAACAAACTTTTAAAAAATCTTGATTGAATAACAAAAGATTCTATTTAAATCACAAATCAATATAAAGGAAATATATAGTCAGCTCACATTGACCGACCCTTTCTTCGCCTATATAATGAACATGCACGCATGTTTTTAACTGCCAAATTTTCAATTCCTGAGTCAGATCTTTTGAAAAATTCACCAATTGATTTCTTAAAATAAACCGTGTGCTGTTCACTATCGTCAGACCGGTTATACCGATATTAGTAATATTTTTACCAATTTACCCTTTCGTACATCCTCCACAACGGGCCAAATTATCAACGAGACCCGAGAGCGAAGAAGAAAAGAGAGAGAGAAAAAAAGGAAAGGGAAGGGACAAAATTCCATGGCTGCTTCTTCTTTCTCCCACACAGCGACACGAATTGAAGATATTTGAATTCTTTCTACACTCACATTTATGATTTTCCCGTTCTTGTTGGATCCTACGAGATTTTGACTCGATCTTCAGGCAGATCTGATCGCGAAAATTCTCTATTTCCAGCTAATTTTCCCGTAGCGTTGGTTTTTTTTTTTTTGGTGATCGGAGATGGAGGCGCTGACGGAGCTTTGTGACATTATAGCAGAGAATCCGAAGCAATTCTCGGAGAAATTAGCTTGGATATGCGGTCGTTGTCCACAAACGGAATGGCTTCTCGCTGAATCGCCCAGGGTTTCTCGGAGTCATCTCAACGCGGTTTTAGCCGTTGCTCGGATTATCTCCAAAAATCCAGAATCAATCGATAATCGTGCCAAATCCGTCGTGAATGAGTTTTTCAGCGCTATACCTGCATCGTTCCGCCGTTCCTTCTGGCCGCATTCGTTTCCTTCGCAGTCGATCTCTTCGTTTTATTGTGATTTCTTGAGTTATCTTTCGTGTGCGGCGGATCTATCACCGGAATTTGCCACAGAGGTTGCTAGGTTTACAGGGGAAGTTGTTATAGTCGCTATTGCACCGAGTTCTGGTGAGAGCGACGGGGATCCAGCAATTTCTAAGGCTTTCTTGGTCGCGCTTTCTCAGAATTTCCCGTCGATTTTGCAGTCTGATGGGGATAAGTTGATAACAATGCTGCTTGATAAGTTTGTTGTGAACCGTGCTCCTGCCTCTCCCAAGGAACAGCGGCAGCAGAACTCGGCTAACTCTGAAACTGAAACTTCGTCGTCTCAGGGCTCTCCTATTAGTACGAACCCTTATCCCTCGGGGAAAACTGAGGAGTCTAGTCCTGGCGACGATGGAGCTAGCCATGGGTCCAATATATCCTCTAAGAGTTCATCATCTGTAGTGGTGAATGGGGGTAGTATTGTGTGGAAGAATGGTGTTGATCAGCTGAGCTTTGGATTTAGCGAGGGGAATGGAGGTTCTAACCCTGTTTTTAGACAACAAGTGGCTTCTTTTGAAGACGAATCCATTGAGAGCTTGGAGAAGCAAGAGATTGCCTTTAGATTGATAACCCATATTTTGGAGAAAGTCAAAATTGAGTCTAAACTTCAGGATCAAGTGAGAGTTATAGCGAAGACGCAGCTCCAGTCCATTTCTAAATTTCTGAAGGTAATGCTTTTCTTGTGATATATTATGAAATTTTCTAGAATAGGCCCTTAATTAGGAATGCTAGAGACGATATATCTTGTTGGTTGATACTCCCTTTTACTGTCTAAATTTGACATGTTTTCATGAGGGCTGGTAAGATGGTGCTTACCTTGCTGATCTTGAGTGGAGAATGGATTTCTTAGAAGAGATGATGACTCTGTTTCTGCCTTTTGTTTTACAGTCAAAAAAACGAGACTGGAACGAACAAGGCCCAGTTCTGAAAACTAGAGTCAATGCCATACTGTCTGTTTATCAGGCTGCAGCTAAAATGAAAATCAAGAGCCTGGTGTCTCTTGAAACAGATGGAAAAACTTCTAAAAAGTTGGTCCTGGAGACGCTTGCATTGCTTTTAGATGCTGCAGATGCCTGCTTGACATCTGTGTGGCGGAAAATGAAGGCCTGTGAAGAACTGTTCGACTCTCTGCTTTCTGGGATTCCGAAGATTGCAGTGGCAAGAGGAGGGCAGCCACTTCGTGTGTTACTCATCCGTCTTAAACCACTGGTACTGGCTGTCTGTGCACAGGTAATTTTGTTATGTCTTAACTCATATGAGCAACATACTCAAAAATACTGATGATCGCGTCTGGAGGTCCATAGAAGTATAATCGAACACATTATGTCACAAGTCTTCTGGACATTTTAGCTGTAATTTAGTGTTACTATTTATTTTTTAGTGTCTGTTGGAACAGCCGGATACTTGGGTTGGCAATCAAGGGGCTATGCTTGAGAGCGTATTTAAGACTAGTTGTGAGATTATTGAATCTGGCTGGGCCAAGGACCGGGCTCCAGTGGACACCTTCATTAAGGGGTTAGCTTCAAGTATTCGTGAAAGAAATGATTTTGAAGAACAGGTGGGGAAATAATTTTTCCTTTCCCTTAGCTAGTTAATTAGCCTTTCTTGTGTTAAATTGCGATTTTATCTTTCAATACGGCTCATCATTTGGTGTCCAGGTTGATAGAGAGAAGCAAGTACCTGCTGTACAGCTTAATGTGATTCGGCTGCTAGCTGATCTCAATGTTGCTGTTAAGAAGCCGGACGTAGCTGACATGATTTTACCACTTTTTATTGAAAGCCTGGAAGAGGGTGATGCTTCGACTCCTAGCTTTTTGCGACTCCAAGTATGGTTCCAATTTCTACAGTGATACCTGGCTGACTATCAATTAGTATCCTATTATATACTACTTCCTGGAACGTTAGCAATGGCAGAAACTGCTACCATCTATATCCTTCGTTTGATTTTTTGACATATTTACTTTTGCATTTATGCCAACTTGTGCAGCTTCTTGATGCTGTTTCTAGGATAGCAACATTAGGGTTTGAGAAGTCTTACCGTGAGACAGTAGTTCTGATGACCAGAAGTTATTTGAGCAAATTATCGAGTGTAGGATCCGTAGAAAGCAAAACGTCAGCACCGGAAGCCACAACCGAGCGTGTAGAGGTATATGTCATTTGATACATGGTAGTTTGTTGTGTTTCTTTTTTACTTTTACTATGACACTGATGCTCACAAATCCAACTGTCGTGTAGACTCTTCCTGCAGGTTTTCTTACAATTGCCAGTGGTCTTATGGATACAAAATTGCGTTCGGACTACCGCCATCGTTTGCTTTCCTTGTGTTCAGATGTAGGCTTGGCTGCTGAGTCCAAAAGTGGAGGGTAAGTATACGATCTTAGCTTGTCTAAAATTTGAGTTTCTTTAACTGTTTATGGGTTAGTATATCTCTTAAGTGTTCTCTGTCGAATAAAATATTTGGGGATAAAAAAATGTGCGCAAATTTTTGAGAAATCTACTGGCAATAGCTTTTGCTGGCTACAGCATGTTTCCAGCAAGGGCTAAGTATTGCATGAACAACCAACGGTGTGTTCATGCTGTTAACGTAAAGATATATCAATCATCTTCCGTAGTCCATCTAGCCTAAAAGTTTAGTATAATTGGAAATTATTCAGTTAATGTTTCTCCACCTAAAACATTTTTCCTTCATACTGACTGGAATATTTATTGTGTGCTTCATTTCTTCTAGGAGTGGTGTGGATTTTTTAGGGCCTCTTCTTCCTGCTGTTGCAGAAATGTGTTCAGATTTTGATCCTACTATGGATGTGGAACCTTCACTTTTGAAGTTGTTTCGCAATCTCTGGTTTTATATAGCCCTTTTTGGCTTAGCACCTCCTATTGTGAAAACTCCGACACCACCCCTGAAGTCAACCTCCAATTCAGTGAACAGTGTGGGAAGCATGAGTGCAACTGCTTTGCAAGCTGTGGGAGGTCCTTACTTGTGGAACACTCAGTGGGCCCTAGCTGTTCAGCGAATTGCTCAAGGCTCTCCCCCCCTTGTAAGTCAGTCTAGAAGGTCATCTTCAGAGTTTAATTTTTGGTTCACTGTATTTTAAACCTACTAAAACTGAATCTCACATCTCCCAGGAGATACTTGTTCTTTAGTTATCTTATCTGATTGAGTATTGCTCTTCGTAGGTCGTC